GGGCTGGCTGCCATCATGTCTTTATGTAAAAATGAAGGGGTTAGGTTAGGTGTCCTCTCAGAACTCCCAAATCTAAGGTGCTCCGGCCCACACCTTTCCTCAGGGACACAGGTGCAAGCACACTGCACCCACAACTGTCCACCACAACGACCAGCTTGGGCCCCGGTGGTGACATTTCACACCCTGGCTCCCTGCACACAGGAAGATGCTGGGGGCTCATGTTAGGGGTGGTGCTGCATGGGACCCCCAATGGTGCTCTTCCTGCTGCTCAAGGCACCCCATCCCAGGGCATGTCCTAGGGGTTCTCTTTAAGTCAGCAGGGGCTAGAGAAGAGGACTTCCTTGCTGTTCACCAGAAAGACAGACAAGGGGACAGATGGAGAGAAAATAAAGAGGAGGGGAGAGAGAGAGAGAGAGAGAGAGAGAGAGAGAGAGAGAGAGAAGGAGAGAGAGAGAGAAAGATAGAGAAGGCACTAGAGAGAGGAGAAAGAGGGAGACAGAGATGGAGGGAAAATGAAGAGATGAAAGCAAGACAAAAGACAGAGAAATGGAGAGAGAAACAGAGGCAGAGTTAAGAAGACAGTGATCTAGAGAGATGGACAGAGAAACGGGGAACTCCTAGAAAGGGAGAGACATAAATGCCAGAGATTAGAGAGAGAGATGGAGAGATAGAGAGATTGAGAGCCAGATAGAGAAACAGGGGAAGGGTGGGAAGGAGGGCGGGAGTGAGTGCGGTGCCTGGGCAGTATGTGGGGTGTGGGGAGGGCTTGAGGTATCCATCCAGTCCCTGAAGATCTAGAGATGCTGGGGAGGCAGCCCAGACCCAGATAATCCAGGGAGACCAGATGGGGGCAGCGGGTGGAGGGGTGGGGGCCAGGGAGGCAGGTAGGAGCGAGTCACTTCCTGGGCCAAATAAAGAGATAACTCATGGCTCCCAGTCCCCCATGGAGGGGCTCCTAGTCACCCATGGAGGGCCTCCCAGTCACCGATAGAGGGGCTCCCAGGGGAGTTTTGGGGTCAGTCATTGTGAGTACAGCTTGAGGAGCTGTGGAGGGTACAGACTGGAGGGTCCCCTGAGCACTCAGTCCCAGTGTCCAAACTTGATACCCCTCAGGCCAGCAGAGGGCAAAGCCCCCCACACCCTCCCCGAGGCCCTCGCAGATGCGGTGAACAGGC